GGTGAGCGAGAAGAAGGGACTAAGTATAAATTGGAAAAAAAACAAAAACAGAATGCATGGTCATCATTAAAAAAATGAGCCCGAAATGTGATATGTGTTGTTCGTGTCCTAAGTATTATTGTTCACTAGCAGCATGGCCCGGCGTTGCCCGTGCTTGATTCAAAAACCGTACGACTCATACAGCAATCGCTATCACTTGACTTAAAATATGCTTGCCTTTCGTTGCTTTTAAAGGAGTGCCCTTTGCCGTGCTGATGTTGCTACATGCCTTACTTCTTGTCTACCTCACACTGCGAATTTTTTCTAAGCTCTATTCTAAACATTAAATCTGTTACGAAAAAAGAACTAAACAAAATGAACACAAAACGATCAGCTTTAAAAAAGGACTCGTAACTGGAAAAACCGAATGAAAAAAGAATGTTAACAACAAATACATTTTCACAATCAACCCAGTTCTGCGGAATCAGAATCAACGTTGATTTTAAACAAGTGAATGAGCCAATTGGAGTAAAGTGCCATGCAGATTTAAATTTTTCCCACTTGTGACGAATGCAGCTATCGATTTTTTTGCATGCTAGCATGCTAGTTAACATTCGTGTCAGTCAGCTGTTGGCTCTCACGCTGGCCAATAGAATCTTCCTGCCTATTTGTGACAGCTAGCTACAGGCTCTCACTCTGGCCAGTAGAAAATGGTTGCAAACTACATGAAAACTGCCGTAGAAGCATGAAAAATCGATTATTTCAACTATCGATGGGAGTTGGGAAATGCAAAGTCGGTCTTGGCCTTCGTGCTAACTTGGAGCATGTGCATGTAAATTTTGGTGCAAATCCGTCGAAAATTGCGACCGTGCATTCGTTACATACACACACCCTGCCTTTTATAGATAGAGATTACCAAGCTTCGTTTGATTATTCTATTCAATAACCTTCCCTAGGTTACAACAATAGCTGTGATCTGATCAGTGTAGGACTTATTTTACCAAAAAAAAACAAAACAAACAGACTGATAACTTCAAAGCTCGGATTCAACTGTTCTCCTCACACAGGTGTGAGCCGAGATAGATTTAAGTTTACAACTAATAAAATTATATCAAAAGAAGCTGTATGGCAACAAATCCAAATTCTTTGGTATAGTATTGGAAAACAAACTTTGTTGAAACTTGTGGAAAATATTCGGCCAGAATTCAGAGAGGCCATAAAAGTAAATGTTGGATACACTAAGTATTAAACTAGTAACTCTATTTACTTTCATGTTTCGAACTTTGGTCCATTGTTCAGTTAATGTCTGTTTCTTATACAGATTGCAATAAAAAAATTCTTTTTTCTTTTTCTAAGTATCCTGTTTTTAAACTCCTGCAAGTGGAGGATCTCTTTGTTCAAATACTTATAATGAGTGCTTTCTCTAGGGCACTGATCCGAAGTGTTGGAACAAACAAATAATCTCTATTGCCTAAGGTTTCAAGGGTTTCGACCTTTCAAGCTCCTTGACTGCTGAACAAAATTTTACAACGATAGAAAAAAACTTTTTATATTGTCTAAGATTTCAGAGCTCATCAAAGAATGTAAGCAAAACGATCAGAAATTAATTTATTAGTTAGGTGCCTCTTCTAGAGAGTGATATGAATTTACACTTTCAATCTCCTTGACTGATTACTGAACAAGATTTTAGAAGGATAGAAAAAAATTATTTTTCCTGTTGTCTAATATTTTATGAGCTACCAAAGAGTTTAATCAAAGACGGACACAAATTAATCTATGAGTTAGACAATTCTTCCAAGTATTGATGTGAATTTGACTTCTCAAGAAGATTTTAGAAGAATAGAAAAATATTACGTTTTCTATCGGCTAAGATTTCAGGATTTTTGGGACCCCTTAAAAGAGTTTAATCAAAGTAAGACCCAAATTAACTTTAATTTTCAAATAGAAATCTGAATTTGCCTTTTCAATCTACGTGATCGAATGCGAAAAATTTTAGAAGTAGAGAAAAAAATTCTTTTTTTGAAGAATTTAACTGTATTAACGCAAAGAAATAGTAAGGACTTATTCTTCAGAACCACCAAATGAAACGCATACCTTGTTGTGATGATTACACTAGAATTTGCTTCTTCTTATATAAACTTTCTGTTTTTCACTCTAGAAACTAAAATTGGTTTGTTTTCTACGGTTTATCAACCCCTTGCAGGTTATTTAAAGCCAGAAAATATTTATAAACTGTAACATTTTCTTTTTTTTAGATAAAAATGGTTTAGGTATACAAGACTGAGGGGGGAGATGGATTCATAACGTCCCCAAGGTTAGTTGCACGTGAATGAATATGGTGAACCCAACGGTAATAGGAACTCGACTCTCCTATTAACAATTCTGTACCATTGTCCATTACACCAACCGCACATCCAATAGAAACTAAATCATAAAATATGAATTTCATGGTTTTGTTCAAAGAGATATCAAGTACTATTGAACAATAAAAAAATATTAAAAAATTAAAATCTTCAGACACAATGGGTTGTAGATTAATATTCTTTCGATTTTATTATTATTATTTCATTTAGATTCCTCGACTAGTTTCGGCCAAAATGGCCATCATCGGGAGGAGAAATATTTCTACTTGCTGGTAACAGTGAACTACAGAAATGAATCTTTTGCTGGAGAAAATGAACTTTTGTCTGTAGTTTTAATTAGTTTTTTTTAGTTTTTTATCTTTTTAACACGAATCTTTTAACATTCCTTGTGTTGGTCAAACAGTCTCTTTGAAGTTGTTATTTGAGATAAGAGCTGGATGGATCTATGCTTCTCTGAATTCCTTTGGTCAGTTTGACAGTTTTATTGGTCCTGGAGAGGGGATGTGTCTCTGTTAACTGTTTGTGTGTGTGTTATTTGGTTCTTAGGAAGTGAGTGAATATGATATGTGTAAGCATGTGGATTGCTGTGGGTGTGTGTTATCATTTGGCTCATTAGGCAGTGAGTGAGTATGATGTGTGTAAGTGTGTATATTCGTGTGGGTGTGTGTGTATAAGTGTGAGGCCTCAACACCTCCGTAAGCATGTCTGTCTTGTGTGGGTGAGAAATGTGGATAGGTTTTGATTTGTTGAGTTATATATTAGTACTATCTATATTGTTATATTTATGGTTTAGCCCGGCTGGATATTGTGTTTTTAGACGTTGTATCCACTTATTTTCATGGAACTCTAAAATCTTTCTAATGTTATCTGCTCTGAACTTTTCTATTCTCTCAATTATAGTGAATTTGGCATGGGTTTTGAAATCGTATTTTTCCAGGCAGAAATGTTGTTCTACAGGTAATAATTTTTTATGGGGAGTCGACTTAATTCGATTGCAATAATTATTAATTCTGGCCATTCTGATTTTCCTACATATTGTTTCTGGCATACTGTGCATTCTAGGAGGTAAATTATGTTATGACTTCTACAGTTAGAATCGTGGTAGATTTTGAATGTAGATTTAGTGATTGAGCTAGTGAATGAATTCGTGTGTTTAATATGGTTGCAACATAAACTTCTTTTGTTGTTACATGGTTGGGGATATCCTGTTGTTTTTGTTCTTAGTTTATTACGGATTACCTTGTCCCCTGAAATGTGGTTACTACCTATGATTTCTTTTAGGTTCTTAGGTCTACGATATGCAAGAAGGCCGGGTTCCTTAAACAATTTTTTTAGGTCTGGTTTGAGATGTAGTATTTCCCAGCGACGTTTGATTATTTGGGATAGTGGAGGCAGAGTGGGGTTGAAAGTGGTTACTAGAGGAATGCGGCTAGATTTATTTTTAATCTTGTACATTAGAGTGTCTTCTCTAGGTGTAATGGCCGACAAGGAAGATTTAATTAATGTTTTATTGAGTTTTTTCAGCATTTTTCGTTTATCAGGAGTTATAGAATATAGTATTTGTCCATAGTTATAATTGTTCCGAGTGCTTTCGGCTAGTTCTCTAGCCGTTATCAAGGATGTTGTTTTTGGATGGTGAATGTCTGTGTGCGATTTCTTCATAGTAGTTTTGCTGTGTGGAGTATGTGCGGCGGGTGTTGTATCCTTTTTGGTGGCCACGTGCTATGCGTGGACGGCTGATTTGGGCATGTCTTTTATTTTTAGAAAACTTTTAACACGCTATCTCCACTACTAAATTGTGTAAGATTGCTATCGAGCGAACAATGTTTAATAAGCAATGTTTCCCTAATTATGCGTTGTGTACAGCTATGTGATTTGAACAGAATCTTTGTGTTGTCGACTAGAATTTTTTTTAAAGGTTCTTGCAAATTACGAGTTAATAAATGTTTATTAATCGAACACTGCTTCGAAAAGTGGCATGTAAGACGTCTACTTAAGGAGGTAGTGGTGTGTCCGATATAGGCCATTGGCTTTGTAACACAGTCTTGTACTGAGCATTGGAATCGGTACATTATATTGGTCATCGCAATCGTCATCCCATATATGTGGAAAAGTATATATGACAGTCGAGTTACTCTTTTGCCGACATGGTCTAACGATTGCATTTAAGCATGTAACAAATTGTCGATATACAGTGTTGATACCAATGCCCATAGTGCTTATATTTATATAAGCTCTTTCCCTGATATTGAGTACTTACATAAATATAATACACAATAAAACTATTTTAACATATATATATATATATATATATATATATATATATATATATATGTGTGTGTGTGTGTGTGTGTGTGTGTGTGTGATGATGAGTAAATGAATAACAGAATTAACAATTTTTTTCAGTTAAAAATTTTAAATTTCAGAATTTTCACATCTTCAACTTTTTTTCTCGGTGCGTAACTATGAGCAAAAATGGCGGTTTTATATCTACGTCTTCCCTTCCTACACAAATATAATTCCATCAATAAAAACATTACTTCAGTCCGATGAACTACTTCTAGAGGACAAAACGCCTTGCACATAATTTAGTTTCACTTTGTCATTCAATCACCTAACATTGATTTATAGAAAAGTATATATATTATATTCTCCTACTTATATGGGAAAGATAGATAGATAGTTAGATATGAACACTCTACGACAAATAGATATAATTAGATATGATAGATATTTAGATAGATACATAGATTGATAGATATGAACACTAAGATTGATATCAATTCTGTATGATAGATAGATAGATAGATAGATAGATAGATATGAACACTCTACGACAGACAGTATGATAAAATATGTTAGTTATTTAGATAGATGCATAGATTTGATAGATATGATCACTAAGATAGATAGATAGATAGATAGATAGATAGATAGATAAAAACGAACAGACTGTGATAGATATAAAGGGGTATATGAACAGACTGAGATAAAGAGAGAGAGAGAGAGAGATGTATGTGTACACATTGAGATAGATAGATAGATAGATAGATAGATAGATAGATAATGAACTGACTGTGATCAATAGAGAGGGGGGTATATCAACAGACTAAGATAAATAGAGAGAGAGAGAGAGATGTACGTGTATGAGACAGACAGACAGACAGACAGATAGGCATGAATAGTCAAAAACAGATATAGATCCACTGTAATATTATTAGCTATTTATGTTTTCATTTGCATTTATTTTCCCTGATTATTATTCAGTATTTGTAATAACACAATGTTTAAATATAACAGCAGTCATTTTTCCGTTCATTAAACATCAACAAGCATATTTAGAGTCCACTTGCTTATTCTACACATCGCTCATAAAAAAAAAACACGCCGATGATTCAGCAAACTTTCTCATTTGTAATAATTTATTTTTAGTATATTAATCGTATGCTGTTTCCTTAAATACATTGCAATTAGGTAACGTAATGGTTACCAACACGGAAAACAAAATCAGCGAATCGAGTTCAAATTTCGTGGTCGCCTATTTAAACTTTTTATTAATATCCTTCAAAATCGCATTAACTCAGCTGCCCCTACCTTTTGCAAAAATCACCTGATATCAAGGCGAATACAAGGTGACCCCCCCAAAAAACGGGAATTTTTGAAGTGCGTATTGCCAGACATGAGCAAGTGGCAACACTGCGAGACAGTGACCTTGAGCAAGTAAACATTTCGCCATTTAGAATTCAAGATGAAATTCACAGTATCCCAGCTGAGATGTTGCAGCAGTCAATGAGGAATCTCAACAGCAGATTTCAAGAATGCATTCGTACAGGAGGACGCCATCTACAGGACGTAATTTTTAAAAAAAATGAAAATCCCATCATTGTTTCTTAAATGGCATGTTTTACGGTTTCAATTACTATGAATAAAATATTTTTCTTCCATCACTCTTGGTTTTATTGGATTGTTAAAAAGTTACCGTTTTTTTTTTTTTTGGTCACCCTATATATATATATATATGAATGAGATAGATAGATAGATAGATAGATAATGAACTGACTGTGATCGAGAGAGAGAGGGGGGAGAGGGAGAGAGAGAGAGAGGGGGGTATATGAACAGACTAAGAAAATAAATAAAGAAGGTTTGAGTCAAATACACTTCCACTATGGAAAAATGTTGTTAATATTTCCTACTATTTGTTTTTGGATGGTGAATGTCAGTGTGCGGTTTCTTCATAGATAGATAGATAGATAGATAGATAGATAAACAGAATGAGATAGATAGATAGATAGATAGATAGATAGATAGATAGATAGATAGATCTGCCCTTCGACATAGACGGAAACAACTACCCGACCCCGTGGTGTAGCAAACTTGTCTCGCTAAAACAGTTACGACTAAATAGTGAGTTCGACACATCTAAGCTACGTTTAGAAAATCATTTGTCCGTAGTTGGAGATTCTTTGATAAAGTTGTCAGTTAAAAGAGAGGATCGCAAGACGAGGTCATGTCACAAAAGCTGATTGAGAAGAGAAAGTGTGGAGGAGCAAACGTTTTTGTTTTTGTTATCTGTCCAGAAAATAGTAACAACATTTTTTGGAAGTGTATTTGGCTCAAACCTTCTGAGGCTGATCCTTAAGGTCAGATGGTAGACAAAATAGGGATTTCGATTTTGATTGGTTTAGCCGAACGTGAGAATGTTAGAATTAGAAAGTGTTTTCGATGAGTTACGTTTTTGCACGTCGAAGAGATCAGACGTGGTTATTTCGTGTCCCGTTGAACTTGTTTCCCAGTGGGGTGGGATAGAAAGTCCCCACTGGCTAGTTAGAAATGTACACGTCGACGTGTTTGATAAAGTCGTCAGTTAAAAATCCTTTTGTTAAAGTTCTCATTCTACTTCCGAACAAACCAACTAGCGATTACACGACCGGAAGACAGCTTAGAGAGAAGAATGCAGCTTCGTCATGGAATCAACCCCGTCAACCAACACCGCCCCCCCCACCAGCGCGAAGGTATATACAACATATATGTTATTCGGCGCAGTGTCCTCCCCAGGAGAGAGGGAGTATATAACAGTCATAAGAACATATAGGTAAATGTTCAAAGTCATCAGTAGTAAACAAAATACTAAATTACTAAATATATAAATATATGAGGATTAGTCAAAAGTTAATAACCGTTCTTCTTTAGTTACACTATTTATTAGTAGAAGGCCACAAAGTTAACCATAATGAAGGCAACATTTTAACAGGCAAAAATCTATTCATCAACATAATCTCTTTCCTTCTCAATCGTTGAATGAGGGGTCGGTCAAATATATATGCTGCCATAACTGGTCTGATGATCCTGCTATAAATCTCGGGTACCCCGAGGCGTGGTGTAATGGTTAATAAGCTTCTCTCGCTAAAACAGTTACGACTGAATAGTGAGTTCGATTCTCACTGGGTGCTCCACACACTCGGCTGTGTGCCACATCTAAGCTACACTTAGAAAATCATTTGTCCGTAGTTAGAGATTCGTCTCCAACTGTGCTGGTCAAACTCTCTGCCTCCGGGCAGAGAGAATCCCCAGACGAGGCAGAGTCTCGTCTCGGCAAACTACTACCCAACAGGGTCTACAGGGAATTTTTGACCGATCCTACGGACTTGGATACCCCACATTAAATTCGGCCTTGTGCCACATGTAACCGCGTGGGGCGATTGGTAGATATCCTGCTATATATCTCGATAATGCAAAATCAAAAGAAGGTTATGTAATGTTATTGGTCTTGACCTGGCATCTCGACTTCAGTCACTTTCTCACTTACGTGACGTGGCTTCCCTTTGTCATTTTGACAAATATTTTTATGGCAATTTTTCTTAATGTCTCGACTTACTGACGGCTCTAGGGTTGATGGCACCCCGGGTAAGCTGAACTTCGGTTCCCTCACATGTATGATTTTTTTAAAATTTTCCCAAGGAGACAAACTGGAAAAGTAGAATAATGAATTTATTACAATATACAACTTAATACAAACTAAAGAAAACATTCGTTATCCAACCATTTTTCGTGGTACTTTCTACCCCGATTTTCTTTAAAAGATCATTTTCTATTGACAAAATAGCCGAAGAATTTAATCTGTCTTGAGTAACAGACGACCGCAAGTATGTTTTTATGAGCTTTGGAAGATCCCAGACACATGACATGGCGGCGTGATGGCGTCCTTGGCCTTAATGGCGACTTCTCGAATTACCAGTAACTTGAGGCTCGACAGCATGAATTTAAGTGTGCTACTAGATTGCTAACAAGACCATATCTTTTTTAATATTGAACTAGTTAGATACAAATGTCTCTTCTATTCTAACAGTTTCTTTTCTCGCCTGTGCAACTCCCTTCCGATTTCTTGTCACCTACAATCATCAAAAATTTAAATGCAACTCTATTTTCTGTCTTCCTGAAACCTGCTCCTTTATTGTCCTTTCCTAATCTCTTCTCAATAAAGTTTTCTCATTCACTTTCACTCCCTGTGATCCCTTGCGTCCTTGTGGCATTGTCCCCTTGCTTGAGGTGAAATGATTAGAAATATAGAAGAATACGGTCAAAAAGTTCTAAGCATCACCCAGAAGGAGTTGGAGAAACAATTTCTTTTATTTCTGTGCTTTTTCCCTATTATTCACTGTCACATTGTTTATCATTGTACAGTAAAAAAAACTGAACTTTTATTAAATTAAAAGGCGGTTTGATATGTCACAAATATCGTCAGAATCCACCTCGAACTCTGTCATTTCTCCCTGCATTGAATACTAATGCTTCTACTACATATCTCGAGATAAAAAGGGTATGTAATGCGATTGATCTTGACCTGGCATCTCAACTTCAGTCACTTTCTCACTGACGTGACGTGGCTTCCCTTTGTCATTTTGACAATTTTTTATGACATTTGTTTTGATGAGATTTTTTCTTAATGCCTCGGCATAGTGACATCTCTAGGTTTAATGGCAACCGGGCAAGTTGAACTTCGGCTCCCTCACATGTATGATTTTTTTAAAATGTTCACAAGCAGATAAACTGAAAAAATAGAATATCGAGGGTCATCTTCCGTGCTGTCCCTGCCCTAGTTGAATTACGCAGCCCACTTCACATTTTCATAGGAAAGGGAGTTCTCAGCAAGTGGCTGTACCGTGTCTTCATGGATTTCCTTTGGTGTCATACCTTTTTTTGCGGATACTTTATCATTGCTCGGGTCTCTGTTTTGTCCATTTTTAGATTTGTTGCATTTGTATGGGCCTCATCTGCACAGAAATTAAGACAGAAATCTGAGTTAGCTTTTTCTAGTTTTATAAGAAGTTGTGTTGCCGAAACAAAAATGTTCAGCTATAACCAGGGGCGGATTTAGATGAAGAGAGGACCTAGGCTAATCCACTTGTGAGGCACCCATTCTCACGAGTAGATGAAAATGGAAGTGTGTTAAACAATTTAAATAAAGCCGAGAATGGTGACAGGTGTTTAAAATCACTGAAAGTTTATTTAGAGTCTACAATATGTATAAGAAAGGCCTATGACACTGTCAAAAATATCAGGTCATCCCATAAGTTCTGTCCGAATTTTAACTTTTTGTTAAAATGAACGAAATTTAAAGAGTATATTATAATGTCTAATGGAGCTGAACATTATTTTTATGTTTAGATGCATTTAAACTGATCACATTTTATTTCAGAGAACAATAAAATTAAATTTGTTTGATTAAAACCCTGCTAACATGGAAGTACCCAAGAATCATTTGAGGCACATAATGCTTTATGAGTTCAAGAAAGGAAACTCAGCAGCCGAAGCGTCTAGAAACATTCACTCAGTTTATGGAGAGGAATGTGTGAATGAAAGAACTTGCAGAAGATGGTTTGCAAAATTCTGAGGTGGAGATTTCACCCTTGAAGATGAAGATCGAACCGGACGTCCAGTTGAGTTTGATGAAAAGCTTCTTGTATCAGCCCTTGGAGAAAATCCTGCTTTATCAGTTGAGGAATTGTCAGTGGTTCTCAGTTCAAACCATACAACTGTTCATCGTCATCTTCAGCAACTTGGAAAAGTTCCTAAACTTGGAAAATGGGTACCTCATGAATTGTCTGAAAACAACCTCAAATCCCGAGTTGACATCTGCTCTTCTCTCCATTCTCGCCAACTTGTTTCACCTTTTTTGGATAGACTTGTGACTGGCGACGAAAAATGGATCTTTTATCGAAATGTTAAGCGTCGTAGACAGTGGTTTGGTAAAGGGGAAGGAACCCAGCCACAGCCGAGAAGGGAACTTCATGGGCAAAAGGTTCTTCTTTCAATCTGGTGGGATCACCAAGGAATAATCCACTTTGAATTCTTACCACCTAATGCAACAATTAATGTTCCAATGTACTGACAGCAATTAGAGCGTTTGAACCAAGCTTTGGGGAAAAAAAGACCTGCTTTAGTGAATCGAATAGAGGCGATGTTTCATCAGGACAATGCGCGACCCCACACAACAAGAATCACGTCACAAAAGATCGAAGAACTTGGTTGGGAGAAAATTCCTCATCCACCTTATTCTCCTGATCTTGCTCCTTCAGACTACCATTTGTTTCATAGCTTACAGAATAATTTGGAAGAAACAGCTTTTGTAACACAGGAAGAGGTTAAAACTGACATTTGTGAGTTCTTCGAATCAAAGCCAAAATAATTTTACAGTAATGGAATTAGTAAGCTTGTTAATAGATGTAAGGAAGTCATAGATAATCAGGGAAAATACATTGTTGATTGAATCTGTAATTAAATGTAACATTTGGTCACTTGTTTTTTTTATTCAAAATTCGGACAGAACTTATGGGATGACTTGATATTATGCACCATGGCTGGTGGGCCCCTAGATTATGAGGCCCTAGGCTTCAGCCGGATAATAAATCCAACATTGGCTATTGTTCTTCTGGGTAAGTCTTAGAACTTTTTGAACGACCCCCGTATTCGCCCTGGAATCCAGTAGTAAATGTCATGAGTTTACACTTGGTTAGTCCTAAAAAACTTCTTTTATTTCTGTTCTTTTCCCTATTATTCACTGTCACATTGTTTATCATTGTACAGTAAAAAGAACTGAACTTTTATTGAATTAAAAGGCGGTTTAATATGTCACAAATATCGTCAGAATCCACATTGAACTCTATCATTCCTCCTGCATTGAATACTGATGCTTCTACTATATATCTCGAGATTCTTGAAAAAATTCAATGAAGGGCTTGTAACGTAATCGATTTTGACCTGGCATCTCGTCTTCAGACATTTTCTCACCGACGTGACGTGGCTTGCCTTTGTCTTTTCTATAAATATTTTCATGGCAATTTGATCCAGTGACATCTCCTCCTTGGTAGCTTGACTGCATGAATTTAAGCTCACTACAAGATAAGTTAATAAGACGCATCATTTTACTATCGAAATAGCTAGATTTAACCGCAAGTTCAATTTTGATAGTTTCTTTTCTCTCCTGTGGAACTCTCTTCCAATTTCTTGCCTCCCTGTCACTTATCTTCCTCAAAAATTTAACTGAACTGCTCTCCATTAATCATCTAGGAGACCCCTCTCTGCTTTCCATTATTATGGCTGATGCTGACCTTCAAGAGAGTGACACGTTGTGCCTTTCAGGCTAACATTATCGGCTGACATGAAGTGGAAAAACAATATTGAATCCATTACTAAGTCAGAAGCTAAGAAAGTTGGTTCACTGTACCGTGCTAGATGGTTTGAAAAATCCTATGAATTTTAAACTTCCAATTGTATGATATATATATATATTAAAGAAAAACAGACCACTTTAACGTACCATTATAATAATTTATTTCACCAGAGTTCTTTTAAAGGACGCCGGATCATCAGATAGCACTTCCAAAAAATGAAATGAAACCAAAAATGAAATTAAAATTGATGGGTAGTGTAAGTTTTTTAATATATATATATATATATATATATATATATATATATATATATATATATATATATATATATTTCTAAAGAATCTGGAAAATTGGTTTGGTTTATTGTGCCGCTTCAGTAATTTTCTGACTCCCTTGGTATTTACAGTTGAAC